CATCTATCTATCTATCTATCTATCTATCTATCTATCTATCTATCTATCTATCTATCTATCTATCTATCTGTCTATCTATCTATCTATCTATCTATCTATCTATCTATCTATCTATCTATCTATCTATCTGTCTATCTATCTATCTATCTATCTATCTAATTCTGCTGCTACTCCACATTTGAACCAAACCATCCTCTCTCCTCCTTCTCTCTCCTCCTTCTCTCTCCTCCTTCTTCTCCAACAAAGGTTTCCACTCTTAAAGACGAACAGCTTGTGTTGTTTTTTTAATCTACACGAGGTTCGAGTGCAGCCGGCGTCTCCGTCGACCCGTTAAACTTCTCAGAACCTCTCCTTTTCTTGTATCTTGGAGTAAATAAATCTGTGTAGGAGGCAGCAGCTTAGACGACGCCTGGACTCTGTGTCTGTGAGTGTTTCTTCACAACTATACCAGTACGTTTATGGGATGTAAAGTCGTGCCATGGTGTGAGTTTGAGTGTTCGTAGTGGTCGCTGGCTCGCCGTAGGAGTCCGGCGGGGCGGCTCGGCGCCTGATGCTGTACCTGTGAATGTACTTTGTATTCAGAGGTTTTTATTACAATAAACAAGTGCTGACATCACAGCGGCGGCTTCTGGACTTCAGCTTCTTCTTTATTGTGTGTGGAGGCGTGTGGAGGCGGGGCTTGTGTTTCTATAATGAACTGAATTAATATGTTAAAGCGTTTGAAGCGTTTGTTTCCTGCTCAGACTGAGGATGTTCTGATGACTGAAGGCTCCTCACCTGAGCTCCAGGCTGTGTTCTTCTGGCTGGAGGAGCTCCTGCAGCGTTCCTCAGGTTCCTCAGCACCTCTGATAGACACCTCCCCGTGGTTATTTCCTGGTTACGTGCCAGCGGGGGTCGTATCGGCTTTCTATCCTAAGTTTTAATTGCACAATTATATATCATCTGGAGCAGCTCGATTATCGATCACAGGAAGCATAAAAATGTTTGCCGCCGCGCCGACGAGTAAACAGCCTCTAATGAGTCCGGCGGGCTCGCTCGTATCGCCGCGTTACCGACGCAGAACCAGCGTTTGGACTTCTGAAACCTGTCCAGAACGTCGATCATCGACCTTTAATCCGTCTGCAGCCGGAGCTGAAGCTTCAGAGTGTCTGATGTGAGGTTCTGCATCAGAGTTCTGATTCGATTAGAAACCAAACGCTGGTCCAGAACTGACCCCTAATCTATAAACTTTATGATGTTATTTGTTTATTTAACCTTTATTTAACCAGGCAAAGACATTAAGAAGATTCTTATTTACAATGCCGACCTGGCAAGTGCCACAGACACCTGTAGGGTGAGTGGGGGAGGGGAGCACAAATCAAATCAATCAAATAAATAAAATATATAATATGTTGAGCTCAGCCCAGCTAGCAGCTCCTCTGGTGGACGTTCATGAAGTGAAGTCTCATAAAGCTGCTTCTCTGTGCACGTGAGAAGCCCAGAGTGCACGTCAAAGGGAGGACACGTCCCCCTACCTGTCCAGGTGCTTCCTGCATCACTTATGATATCATCAAGAACTCATTAGCATAACACCAACAAATAGCGATCGGCTGCCTCACAGTCGGACTTTACTTCCTGCTTCTGCTGGAGCTGCGTCTGTACTGGACCAATCAGAGCAAGGGGCGGGGCTTAAAGAGAGCGGAGCTGCGTCTGTACTGCACCAATCAGAGCAGGGGGCGGGGCTTAAAGAGACAGCATGAGGACAACAATAATGTGCTGACTGAGCAGTAAAGCGTGTGAATGTGTTTTGATGGAGTTGGTAAAGTAGTGAAATAGTTTAGTGGCACAACAGCTGAAGAGATGCTGAGGGTTTGGATGCTGTAGTTCTGTCCAGGTGTTTCTGTCCAGGTGTTTCTGTCCAGGTGAGCTCCTGGACGGATCCATCTAACAGAACCTGACTCGTCTGTCTTCAGGACTCAGGAGGTTTCATGTGTCTCATGTGCAGCAGCAGCAGGACGTCACACAAGAAACATGATTTAAATACACGAGAACACGAGTGCTGAGTGGACGGGTTCTGGTGCTGGAGTCGGACTGAGCAGGTGCATGATCCGGAGATGATTGAGAGTAAATCATGAACAGCAGCAGCGTCTCTGTAGCTGTTTCATTTCAGGCTTTAGATGCATCAGATTGTGTAGAAACACAAACGCTGCTCATCTTCAGTGTCGTTTTGTCTCCCTGTGGTTCTGTTTCCTAAATAAAGTCAGTCTGAAGTTCTGAAGACTAACAGAACCCGACTAACTCTGCTGTAGAGGTTCTGGTTCAGTTCTGATAGCTCATGTGGACTCGCTGCCGTCTGCGTTTAAATGACTCCACCAGGTCCGTTTGATTTTCAGCGTCAGAACCCTGAGTCGGGTCCAGGAGGTCGACGGTGAGACCCTCAGACTGACCCGATGCCGGAGCAGCGAGCCGACCTGTCAGGACGTTTTATCGTCTCTGTGATGAGACGTGGAGTTTCTGTCAAACTTCACCAGGTTCTGCTCGCTCAGGTTCTGCTCGCTCAGGTTCTGCTCGCTCAGGTGCGCTGGCGTCGTCTTCTGGCTAATTTTCTCCTTCGGTGCCGACTCCACACCTGGTTTCACGTCTCTGCTGCCGTCAGACGGCGAGACCGAACCTCTGAGAGAGAGTCGAGTCTTCAGGCCGACTGTAGCGGCGCTGATGGATCATCGAGCTGCTGGTCCGGTCCGGTCCGGCTGGAGTCCCTTCATCCAGAGGCCTGTACAGTCCGGGCCTCATGTGGAAATGACAGAAAATATGTAGGAAAAAATTACAATCAACATATTTATAGTTGATTTAAATGCAGTAAAACTGATATTTTACGGTTTAATATTGTAAAAGAAAATATTTCTATTTGTAGAAATTCAGATTTCTGACGTGGATTTTAGGAACAGTTCTGGATGTTTATTTTATTTTTTATAATCCACATTTATTTATTTATTTCTGTGATTTTATCTGTAGTTTAACAAAACAAGGACAATATGTATAATAATAATAATAATAATAACAGTAAGAAAAAGCAATTTGCCATTTTTCAATATTAAATTTATTTATTTATTAGAAAATATCTGTAAATTTCAACACTTTTTACTGAAATCTAATCATTTTATGGTCAAATGTAAAAGACATCATTCCTGTTTTGTTTTAAGTGAACAGTATTTACAGTTTTGGCCTCTTTCTTATATTTTTATTAATTTATTCTTTATATTTAACATATAAATAAAGTTTTTTTTTCTGTGATTTTACTTGTTTTTATCTGTAATTTAACGAAACAAGGAGAATCTGTAATTTATCACTTAAAAAAAAAAAGATATTTACCAGTTTTCAGTCTTTGTTTTAGATCATTTTCCAAATAACAGCAAGTGTCTGATAATAAAAACATTTTTGTTGATTTAAATGCAGTAAAAATGTTCACAGTCCAATTATTAAATGTGACCATAAAATATACAGAAAGTGGAAGTTATTGACATTTTAATCTGATTTGTGTAAATTAATACATCGTAAATTAAAAGTAAATAGTTAAAAATATTACAGCTACTTTTTGTTTTTTTTACAGTTTTCTGTAATTTTCACAGTTTTTAAAATATTTTTTTTAACACCTTTGCTTCCAGATTTGTGCATTTTGATCCACATCAGTCATAAATAAGTCAGAAGACAAAGACTCAGGATGAGTTTGTGCATCTGTAACAGCAGCACCGGTCAGAGCTGCTCTGAGCCACAGCCAATCAAACTCCAGCGTTCCATCAGCTGCTGCAGAACCCGGTCCGTCCGCAGGTCCGTCCGTCCTGCAGCTTCCTGTCCACATTTAAACAACCGACATGAGCTCCGGTTGAGCGCCTGTCTGCTGATCCCACAGCGTCTCAACCAGCAGCCACGGCGCTGATGGTAGCGGGCCAGAATCCTCCTGCATGGACCGGGCTGGACGAGTCGCTGCAGCAGATAAGGACGAGCGCTCTCACCTGCAGCTCCCCTTAATCCCTTCATTCATCCAGGAGCTCTGCTGCACCGAGGAGCTAGATAGCAGCCGGGTGGGAGCATCCGGCCCGCACGGCGCCGGGTCCGGTTCATTATACGGTTAAATTATATGTAGTCAGAGTTCTGTCCTGTGTCGGTGTCGAGCTTCACTGCAGAGATCACGCTCAGACTGATCCGGTGTCAGACGGAGTTTATATGACGGGATGTTTGCTGCAGTTTGTATCGACCAGACGTGTGACGGGTCAGCGTGGACCGGGAGAAACGAAGGGTTCTGGAGCCCAGCTTCACATGGCAGCACGTGTTCTGCCTCAGTTCTGATCCGTGGTGGGTTTAAACTGGACCAGCGGCGTGAACAGAACACGTGATCTGGACTCGGAGGAACCGGAGTCGGCTGCGTCCCAACAGATCTGTTGGAGGCAGCTGAGAGGACAACGGATCATCAGAACCTGCTGGTCAGAATGCTGCTCCTTTAAACCGGTTCTGTCGGGTCCACCGTGTCACGCTGATGAAGGGAACCGGCCCGGCACCGGCTGGAGCGGACCATTAGAGAGCCGATCAAAGGGAGCGTGGACAAACACTCCAGCTCCGGGTTCGTTCGGGTTCAAGTCCTGCTTGGATCCGGTTCAAATGTGTCGGTTTTTAATGGGCTCGGGTCGGCCTGGAAGACTCTCAGAGTTTAGTCCGCTCCCCGTGTAAATACAGCTGAAGGTGTGTGTGTGTGTGTGTGTGTGTGTGTGTGTGTGTGTGTGTGTGTGTGTGTGTGTGTGTGTGTCCATACTTAGTGCTGCTGTTATATTTTAATTAAAGCCGAACGGCGGCCTTAATTACTGCCATGATAAACAACACCTCTCTCTCTCTCCATCGTCATCAAAGCACCAACGAAGCTTCGCCCAGATGTAGACGCGCACACACACACACACACACACACACACACACACACACACACACACACGTGAAGCCCGCGGTCGGTCTCGGCGGTGCAGCAGAACTGTGTTTATGGCTGTTAATGAAAACTGAGGCCAGAGTCCCAGAATCCCAACGCTAATCACCATCCAACTCTCTGGACAGGAGGGAGGACGACGGGGGAGGACGGGGAGGATGGAGGAGGATGGAGGAGGATGGAGGAGGACGGGGGGGTATAGGAGACAGGAGGGAGGACGGCGGAGGATGGTAGAGGAGATGGGGAAGACTAGGGAGGATGGAGGAGGCTGGAGAAGGATGAGGGAGGATGACGGAGGATGGTAGAGGAGATGGGGAAGACTAGGGAGGACGGAGGAGGCTGGAGGAGACGGGGGAGGATGGAGGAGGGAGGATGGAGGAGACGGAGGAGGCTGGAGGAGGATGAGGAGACGGAGGAGGATGGAGGAGGATGAGGAGACGGAGGAGGATGGAGGAGACGGGGGAGGATGGAGGAGGGAGGATGGAGGAGACGGAGGAGGCTGGAGGAGGATGAGGAGACGGAGGAGGATGAGGAGACGGGGGAGGTTTCAGAGACCCTGACTCGTGAGCACTTTGGCGTCCGTAGACTCAGAAACACAAAGTGAGCTTTTCTGTGTTGTCGTCCATCTTGGTGTGTGTCGGTGGATTCCTCATGTTGTGAGGACACTCCACAGGAACCAGGAGTCAGAACATCACGGTCAGATGGTTTAGAGACGAACCAATCAGGTTTTACTGTCCTCGATCTGATCCAGCCCCGTGTGGTCCCACTGATCTGCTAATGAACACATTCACATCAATCCAGTGACGACTAAACACCTGCAAACTCATTTATTTCTGTTCCTGGATGTTCTGCAGGTGGTCCAGAACCTTCCTGTCAGCATGTTAATACACGTGTTAAAGATACGCCAGAAATATTTACAGTAATTACTAAAAAAAATCCTAAAAATATGAATAAAATGTCAGAAATGTCCAAAGAATGTCATGAATAACAACCAAAATATGAATAATACTCCTGAAAACGTCCAGAACATGATGTGAACATGATCTGCTGAAGGTCAGGTTTAGCAGCGACGGGCACCATGAAGGTTTATTGATCACTGATTGATAACATGACTGGTTATGGTTTAAGGATCTGTGGCGTCCTTCATGCGGTAGGAGCGCCGAGGCAGGCGGAGGGTTTCCATCGTGGGAGGGAAGGTCACCAGGACGGTTCTGAGCTGACTGAGCAGAGTGTTATTTAAGGTCCAGCTGTGTGGAACACGAGGTGAGGCGCCGTCAGGAGGAGGGGCTCCACGGCGCCGCTTTCACCCACGATCTGGAAATCAGAGAGAACAGAGAGTTTATTCAGGCTCGCTGGGCTCCACCCGGCCGGAGAGAACGGACCGTAGAAAGAGACCCGGCCACCCAGAGAGCGCCGGTTCTGCTGGAATCTGTTCCTTCCTCTGCCAGCAGGACGGAGGTTCTGTCACTGGTCCCACATCTGGGTGATGAAGAACTTTAGCGCCTGAAACCAAACTCCAGGTTTGATTGTGTTCGGTCGACACGTCTGAGCGTCTGATCCGCTGCATTCAGCTCATCATCCCTTCATCTGGAGAACCTCTGTGTGCTCCTCCTCCATGTCAGAACCAGAGTCAGGTTGATTGCCGGCTGTAGGGATGAGTTCTGGTGGGTCGGTGCAACGGTACATATAGAGTGAGGTACGAGATGAAAATATAGAAATGGCTAAAAAATAGAAGTAAGTAGAAATAAAAATAGCTGTAATGGTGCAAAGCAGAAGAAAAAGATGTGAAGAATTAAAGTTAGATTTAAATGAGGACTGTAGTTATTTACACATCTACTGATATTTACATTCATACAGATGTTTCCTCGTCACGTCTGCATCCAGTCCTTCTACACAAACTCCTCGTCTTTGCAAAACCAGAATCACTTTTCTTTCTTTTCTTGTGTATTTTGCACAAAGCGTCCAAACAGAGCAGCAGCGACTCTTCATTTAAATGTAAAAGTCATTGTTTCTGCCAAAAAGTCTGATTTTTTACTGCAGTTGGACCAAAATCTCCAGCGTTTGCTGACTTTGAAGGCCCTCTGCTGCGCTCCTGCTCCACCTCCAGGTCTTGGTTTGTCTCGGACGTCCGTGCACGTAGTTCAGTGTGAGCGCCGTTTCAAACAGACGGGTCGGGTTCATTCAGAAGCTGCTGCTTCAGAAAAAAGGTACAAAACAAAGATGTAAATGCAGTTTGGTTGTGTACGAGTGTAGTTTAGTGGAGAAATCTGATGTCAGTGCGTGCACGTGATGGCGGCGGCGCTCTGTGACAGCGTACACAAATAAAATACCTTCATCTTATCTGTAATTTAACAGTTACAAAAAAGGATTTTTACCAGTTTTCAGTCTTTATTATGGATCGTTTTCCAAATAACAGCAAGTGTCTGATGATTAAAACCATTTTTTGTTGATTTAAAAGCAGTAAAAGTGTTGAAGTTAAATGATGGAGACCGTAGAGGTCCAGATGTCTGAGGTGGAGGAGCTGCAGCTCTCCTCGTGTTCGCGCCTCATCTGTGTGCGTTGATCTTTAATACGACGATAAACCACGCCGCCGCGTTCCTGCGTGTCGATGAAGAGCCGAGCGGATCGGATCGGCGCCGCGTGTTTCTGACAATCAGCAGAAAAATTCCTCCACATATGTTCTGGATCGACGGCAGTTTGGGCTGAACGACGGTCTCGTGCTGCCCTCGTCCAAACCTCCAGCAGACTGTTAGCGCTAGCAGCCAGCCAGCATGCACATACACACACACACACACACACACACACACACACACCACCGCGTACACTCGCTCGGACAAAAAGACAAAGACACAGAGCTTCCAAATAATTACTGAGCCCAGAAGTCTGCAGGACCGAAGAGCCAGCAGTGTGTTTTCTGAGTGTGTGTGTGTGTGTACAGTGTGTGTGTACAGTGTGTGTGTGTACAGTGTGTGTGTACAGTGTGTGTGTGTACAGTGTGTGTGTACAGTGTGTGTGTGTACAGTGTGTGTGTAGAGTGTGTGTACAGGTCTGGACAGCGCTCCTTAATGAGCAGACAGAGGACAGACTGGTTTATAGAGAAAACCTTCCAAATCCCATTACTGCACTGGTTAGTGTGTGTGTGTGTGT